CCGAATCTTCCTTTTTCATTTTAACTACATAAAAAATTCAATCTACACAACCAATGCTCTGATACCACTTTGTTGGGAAAACTAGGAACAACCAGACACCAATTTACCCGGATCAATTCAGCGGAATACAATTCACAATTCACAAGTCCCAATTCTTTCCCTCTTTGTGTAGTAAAACAAAATCAAACAATGATAAAAATAATGTAAATAATCACAAAATCAACACCAAGATTTTTAACATGGAAAACCCGATGCGGGAAAAACCACGGGACTGTAGTCCACCTAAAAACTTCCATTATCAACAAATAATGGGTTCACAATCATTCTTCCTCAGATTCAACTAAGGGATATAACATATATATCATCAAGAACAACTTATTCTCGGATTACAACAAGATTAAAGGAGAATTATTTGAGAAAAACTCACAAAACTGACAGCCCCGTTTTCTGTCAAAACAGCCAGCTTCTATACCATCAATCTTCGTTCCAACCGTCCAAAATGAAGATCAACGTGTCTAGAAGCCGCTGTTAAAATCTTAGTCCGATCCAATGGTGAACGAGGTGGAAATCGAAGAAAGAACTCAAGCTGCTCTGCTGCCTCTTCTTCTCTTTTTCTCTCTTGATTTTCTTCTCCTCTCTTCTATTTTTCAATCTACCGCTACAGTACCCGAACCACTTAATTTTAAACACCAAGAGACAGCCATCATATGAAAATTAATGTGGTGGTCCCACCATCACATGGTGTGGGACCACACACAACAAAAGCTCCCAAGTCCCATTTCAAACAAGAGCATCATATCCTTCAGACATGGCCTGATGCCATTTTGGATCTTTGAGTGCTTGGTTCACAGTGGTTGGTTCTACATCAACAGGGTGAGATAGTTGTGTGGAGAGATTAAGTTTCTGGATTGGTTTTTGAATGTTGTTTTTGGCTTTAGTGGTTATGGAGTTTATGGGTGGTGGCTGTAAGGTATTTTTATGGATTGGGATATATGTGTTTTATTGGGTATTGGATGAAAGCACAGAGGTGGTTGGTTGGATTTCAGGTGAAGGTATAGAGATGGTTGGTTGGACAAGAGGCTTATGTGGGATGTGTGGGGTTATACTAGTAGTGGAGAACGAAGCATCATAAGAGGGCTATCTTAGAGGCTGAACTGGAGGTGGTGTGTTGAATGTCCCAGTGGAAGCTTGGTTCGTTGGGACTGTGATGATGGGAGGGATCCATGTAGAGATGGTGTCTGGTTATGGACTGGGAGATTGCATGAATAACATAAAAGAGGGGAAGATTGATTCAATAAATTTTACATGACGAAGAACATATATTTTAGATGTGGGAGGATAATAGCACAATAAGCACTTTGAGTAAAGGAATAGCCTAGAAAAATACAGGGCTTGGAACAAGATTCAATTTTGTGAGATGCATAAGAACGTAACCATGGGTAGCACAAACAACCAAAAATTTTAAGTTTAGAATAGTTTGAGGGAGAGCCAAAAATGCTTTTAGATGGGGATGATAAATTTAGTATGAGCATATGTATATAATTTATTAGGTAAATAGCAATGGCAAAAGCATGAGTCCAAAACATTAAAGGAAATGATGCTTGAGATGGGAGAGTGAGATCTATTTCAACAATATAACGATAACATCTTTTAAAATATCCATTGTGTTCAGGAATATACAATAGAGTAGTAAGATGAGTGATCTCACTGGTAGCAAGAAAAGTTCAAAGAGTCATGTATTCACCACCATTAATAGAGTAAAGTGTGTGGATTTTATTTTGAAAGTGTGTTTCCACAATGGCTTTAAATATGATAAATACCTCTCTAACTTCATATTTTTGAAAATAAAATCAAATGTATTTAGTGAAGTGACCAACAAATATGACATAATATTTAAAATCATTGTTATTGCATAGTGCGACAACCATCATGGGAGAGAGGGGAAGTCCACACATCAAAGAAAATAATTTCAATTGGTTGAGAGGAAACAATAGTAGATGTAGAGATAGGTAATTTATGGCTTTCATTGCTGTGACAAGCATTACATAAAAAATCAGAGATTAGAGAGGAAGATAAATCTAACTGATAATGTGAAATAATATGTTTTAAAATTAGAAATGCAGGATGACCTAATATATGATGCCACGCAAATGAAGAAGTTTTGACACTAGAAAAGGCTACTAATGGAGATGTTAGGGAAGAAGGAACCAACCATTCATACACCTCATCCTTCGTTTGACCCTTCAAAAGAATTGTCCCCATGCGAAGTTCCTTCACAATGAAAAGAGGATGGTAAGAATTCGACAGAGTACAAAATTGAGATATTTGTATTGTACAAATAAGAATTCTATTTGTGTATGTGCTACTGGTAAAGATAGGGTACTCAATTTGATTTCATTATACGGATCGGGAGGAATTGAAAAGGCCGAATGTAGCGACAAGGGAATCCATATGTAAGCATAGTCTTTAGAAATTAGATTCTTTTTCATGCTAGGAACACACAAAACATTGTCTAATTTAAATGATGTGTTATGAGTGGTAAATGATGTAGAAGCACTCGATCGATCGCCATTCATAATATCATTAGAATCATTGTAAGGTGTGTGAAGAGATAGATTACTCAGGTCAGCAGTGACATGATGAAAAGCATGACTGTCCGGTAGTCCTTGAGGAGTGGTGGAAGTCGTGTTGGATGCAAAATGAGCTTGAGGTTGCCATGGTGTCATAGTGCTGTTCATTGGTGCAACTGGAGTTGTATTGGGTTGATTTGGCACCAAGCAAATGAAAGGGTTCAGACTTTGCACCTTGAAGAGATGCTTCAAAATGAAGAAGCTTTTCATGGAGTTCATCAAACATGATCATGTTATCGCGGGGTTGAACTGCACGTATAAGGTCTTTAGAGTCATCCCCAAGACCATCAAGAATTTTGTCTGTGAGGTCATCTTCATCCATTGGTGCCCCAAGAATAGCAAGTTCATCAGCCTGACATTTTATCAATTGAAGAAACTCTATAACAGTTTGAGACCCCTTGGTTAGATTTTTTAATTTGATTCTTTACTTGCTTGATGCACCCTCGGGATGGCTTGGCATGTGTGTTTGCTAAGATCAACCAAGCTTCTTGTGATGTTTTGGCTCTTGCAATGAATGGAATAATTGTGGGAGAAAGGATCAGTTGATCGTGTCTTATCCAGGTATTGTGAGTAGGATTTGGTACGGTGGTGTTGTTTTGAGTGATAGTGGAGGGTGGACAAGGTTTGGATCCATCTATATATCCTAAGAGGTCATATCCGATAAAGAGTGTGTGGAATTGAAGTTTCCAGGAGATGTAATTAGTTGTGGAGAGTTTGAGTGGGACTTGGGCAGGGGTATTGATGGATATGAGAGGTGTTTAGTTCATTTGTGTTTTGCATTCCAGTTACAGAGTTGGAATTGGTTGTTGTCATGGTATTGGTGGCTGGAGGAGAGCAGCAGCAATTAAGAGCTCGGATACCATAAAAGCAATGAGAGGAGCAAAGAAACAGAGAAGATAAAATATGCCACACTTCTTCTCATTAGATTAAATGATATAAATACAAGGGATTGTAACAGACTAGAAGCATATCCCTGAGGATAAGTGCGCAGCTTAAAATACAAATTCAAAATTTAAACAAACTGAACCTGTTACAACAATGCATGATAAGGAATCGGGAGACTTCTCTAATAGAGGGAACGTAGGAAGTTGAGGGATGAGATAATGTCAGAGATAATTTCAGATAATAATCCATTGAGAATTGTTTACCAAAACTCTCAACCTATTTAAAGCTCTTAAGTTTTTCAATCCACTTGTCTGAAATATTAGGCGTTGGTCATAGGAAAAGAGTGTTCTGTTTAAGCCATTTTGTGACTGTTTTCTTGGTAACCTTGCATTCTGGATAGAGCCATGATCATGCTCTATCTTTTATAACTATTTTCTGGCGCACCCAAATTTTGTTTAGTAGCATCTTTCAGTACCTTTTCAATGCTATTTCTCTCCTCTGGAGCGTATTAATTTTTCTTTATTGGAAAGAATCTTTGTCAATGAAGGGTAGTCATTTTTACGCCTGTTCTTATGTTCAAATCTATGTTTAGGTGAGTTTTAAAATTGCATTTGGTATGAAAAAACATTAAATTAGTGCTTTTTAGTGATGCCAAAAAATAGAAGAAAATCCAGAAAAAATTCAGATTGAAGTACTCTTAACAACAATCTAAGTCTGTCTAAGATCCAGATCCAACAGAACTTAAGAAAAATGGATTGATAGGAACTTGACCATTGAAGGGCCATACTTGTTTGACTTGTTCCCGTGGTTGTTACGGGTACTGATCCATAGTCTTCTCAGTCTCTTCGTCAAAGTTGGCCCTCCATTATGGAAATTTGGTGAGTCTCTCACATACACTTTTCCATTTATCTTTTCAGTGGAAAATATGGCAAGGGAGAAGAAATTATTGATGAACTGGAAATTACAAAGCGATACACCCACAAGTGTGTCCCACGTCAATTACAATATCTCCCATTGAATTTAGTGTGGTGATCAAATTGTTAAAAAAAACTTTCGAGCTTAAAGTTTCTTCCATAAAACTCTTTGCTTTTTATTGCCCTTTATTTACTTTCATAGTCCATTGGTCATAAAGAAGCTATATTCTCTATGATCCCTCGGTACTTTCATAGTGATTAACGTTCTCTATCAACCTCGTATCCTGTTGGAAATAGTTTATCTATTTCATTTTTCTGCCTCCAATTGCCAAGCACGAGAATGTAAAAAAAAGAAAAAAAAGAAGCAAAAGTGAGAAGACTTGACATGGTATAATTTCCGGTTAACGTCACAAACTATGATATGGAAAGGGGAAAGAAAGTTGAAATGAAATTTTATCACAAATTGTCAACCGTGTCAAGCACGAGAGCAATCATAGTCTAGTTAATTTCAACTTAATTAGAGAAGAGATGTAATTTTCAATGATTTTTTTTTTTAAATTCCAATCATGTTTTCCTTCCTATAAATACTTCCATGGGAGAGCCTAATCTACCATAGCAAACCGTATCCTATATCTCTTGAAAACACACCATGACGACGTCCTTACTAAATAAATCATTCTTCTCGTTCTTTCTCCACATCCTGTTTTTGCTCCTTCACACATTCAACTTTTCTTCTTACTTTACTTTAGCTGAACACACTCCCTCCACAACTTCACTGTTTGGTAATAATACAGAAGCTGAGGCTCTTCTCGAATGGAAAGCCAGTCTTGACAACCGAAGCCAATCTCTCCTTTCTTCTTGGGTCGGCATGAGCCCATGCATTAACTGGATTGGAATCACTTGTGGCAATTCTGGAAGCATCACCAATTTGAGCCTTGCAGACTTTGGCTTGAGAGGTACGCTTTATGATTTCAACTTCTCATCCTTCCGTAATCTTTTTGCTATTGACCTTCAGAACAATTCTCTTTCTGGAACCATCCCACATGAAATTGGAAAGATGACGTCTCTTTTCGCTATTTCTTTAGCTGAAAATAATTTCACTGGTTTCATCCCCTTCTCTGTTGGAAATTTAACAAACCTATCCAAACTCTATCTTTGGGATAACAAACTTTCTGGTTCCATTCCTCAAGAAATTGGATTGCTAAAGTCTCTCAATCAACTTGATTTGTCATCTAATGTTTTAACTGGTGAAATCCCTTATTCCATTGGAAACTTGAGAAACTTATCTCTCCTTCACCTTATTCAGAACCAACTCTCTGGTTGCATCCCTTCTTCTATTGGAAACATGACCATGCTCGTTGATGTATCAGTACAACAAAATAATCTCATTGGTTTGATCCCATCCTCTATTGGAAACTTGACAAGCCTATCCGTCCTTTATCTTTGGGATAATAAACTCTCTGGTTCTATTCCTCAAGAAATTGGGTTGCTAGAATCTCTCAATGAAATCGACTTGTCAAGCAATGTTTTGACCGGTAGAATCCCTTATTCCATTGGAAACTTGAGAAACTTATCTTACCTTTACATTTTTCAGAACCAACTCTCTGGTCCCATCCCTTCTTCTATTGGAAACATGACCATGCTCATTGAAGTACAACTAGATGACAATAATCTTACTGGTTTGATCCCCTCTTCTATTGGAAATTTGAGAAACCTATACACACTTTATCTTTGGGATAACAAACTTTCTGGTTCCATTCCTCAAGAAATTGGGTTGCTAGAATCTCTCAGTGAACTTACCTTGCTAAATAATGTTTTAACCGGTAGAATTCCTAATTCAATTGGAAACTTGACAACTCTCACTACACTTGATCTAAGTATAAACAAACTTCACGGCCCATTGCCCGTAGAGATGAAAAATCTTACCCAATTGATTGTTTTGGAAATTGGTTTCAATGAATTCACGGGTCATTTGCCACTAGAGTTATGTCATGGAGGGGTATTGGAGAACTTTACTGCTTGCTACAACAACTTCTCAGGTTCAATCCCGAAAAGTTTGAAAAACTGTACTCGTTTACACCGAGTAAGACTTGAAAGGAATCAATTAACAGGAAATGTTTCTGAGGTTTTTGATGTCTATCCACATCTGGATTATATTGATTTGAGTTACAATAATTTTTATGGTGAGCTTTCTTCAAAATGGGGAGGTTGTCGTAACATGAAAAGCCTTAGAATCTCAAACAATAATGTTTCTGGTGAGATACCACCAGAGCTTGGGAAGGCTACTCAATTACGCTTGATAGATCTATCATCAAATCAGTTAAAAGGAGCCATCCCAAAAGATTTAGGGGGTTTGAAATTGTTGTACAAGCTTATTCTTAACAACAACCATCTTTCAGGTGCCATTCCCTTAGATATTAAGATAATATTTTGCATAAAAAATTAAAAATTAAAGAAACAAAATTCTAAAAATTAAAAAGGTAAAATAATATTTTGTTAACTCAATTTAAAGGACTATACATCCATTCCTATAAATCAATTGATCAACAAAGTAAAATAAATATCCTTTTAGATGAAGTAAATAAACTCGATTTTCTTTAAAGCTAAGGGGAATTGAAAAAATTAACAATAAATTAGTAAGACAAAGCTTCTTATTAATTTATTATTATCAAGCAAATTTAATATTAAAACATAATTTTCATTCACTCGACAATAGTCTTAGGATCAAAGACTGTAAAATTTATTCTAAATAACCATTCAAAAGCTTGAATGATTTTACTTTACTTATTCCTCCCTAATGAATTAAACTAAAAGATGAAATAATCAAATTAATTCATTTGTTTTTTATTCTTATCCCTAATAACAATTACAGATTGAAAAAAACTAAAATATATATATTGTTATCTCAAATCAATTCAATTAGCATGAATAAAAATTAATAGTATAAATTTAAAATAAGGATGAATACGTACTTGAATGTGAAAAAATTACAATGATTAGCACGAATTCTCATAATCGATTATTGAGATGGATTCTATTCCCTTTAAACAAAACAAAACAAATAGTTGCTCGAATTACCAAAAGAAAAAAAATTGGAATGATCCCTCTATCTGATTCCCCCCCTCCCTCCTATTTAACATGAAAAAAAGTAGCCTTGATGATAAGATATCAAGGATAAAAATTAAGAGATTAAATGTTGTAGAGAAAATCTCTTCAATCCCATCAAATTTCTTCTTAAAGATAAGATTCTCAATTTTATCAATTACTGATCAGATTAGGAAACAAAACTCTCCCTCCAACTTGGATCAAGGTTTTTGTATTGAAAACAATAATTTTTTATCATTGAGCCCTTTATAAATGTGGTAGCTATAGATATGTAGATGAATTTAAGTTTTTGAACCGTCTGATTTCAATACCTGAATGTCAAAATATGCTAGCTTAAATATTTAGCGTGCGAACAACAAATCTTACTGCAAATAGGATTCAGGTCTGATTTTGTGACTTCATTTAAAGGCTCAAGCAAACTTGGACTTTTACCTATAATAATTTTTTGAATAACTTGATGTGTAATTCAACTTTGATGAAGCACATATTTCCATTCTAAAACTCCAACTCAGTGAAAAACTTGAAAAGGCAATAAAAGTTTGAAACATAAAATAAAATTTTTTTATTTTTTAATAATTAATTCACAAAGTTTTTAATACATGATAAAATTATAAAATAACTTTTAATGAGCTAAAATAAGCTTAAAATACATTAAAAAAATATAATGTGAAAGGAATAAAATATATATGTCACTGATTTTTCACAACCTAAAAGGCTGGAGCCCAGCTTCGATGTTAGAGTTCGTGAAGATTAAATGCACTTGACAATTCAGTGCAAGAAGACATAAAAGGAATTAAATGCACTTGACAATTCAGTGCAAGAAGACATAAAAGGAACTAAATGCAGTTGACAATTCACTCCTACCACACGCATCAAGGAAGACCTCAAATTAATGGGTGTTGTAGAGGAACAAAACATCTTCTTCCCCTGCCTCTGTATGTGTAGGGGAAGGAGGAGAACAGTGTTGTTCAAAACAACACTATTTTTTTTTTTTTTTTAGGTTTGAGGAAAAAAATTAAATTTGGGGAATAATCTAAAAATAAATTATGACAAAACTCGTGCTTTTTTTTTCCTTGTTAAATTGGAGGAAATTTTCACTACTAAAAGGCTAGAGCCTAGTTACGATGTTAGAGTTTGTGATGGAGGACAAATTAAGATAAGCAACACTTGAAAATTCTGTGACATAAAAGGAATTAAGGCATTGACAGAAACTCATCCTATATGTCGTTGGAATCTCTAAAATTTAATTCTAACTTTACTATCATATAAAAAACAATTTATAGTATGATTGTGAAAATCAGGTTGAACTCAAGAGAAATTTTGCTAAATCTTTCTACAAGATAACAAAATAAAAAAGAACAAGGGTTAATTGCATAAAAAATTAAAGAAACAAAATTCTAAAAATTAAAAAGGTAAAATAATATTTTGTTAACTCAATTTAAAGGACTATACATTCATTCCTATAAATCAATTGATCAACAAAGTAAAATAAATATCCTTTTAGGTCAAGTAAATAAACTTGATTTCCCTTAAAGCTACGGGGAATTGAGAAAATTAACAATAAATTAGTAAGACAAAGCTTCTTATTAATTTATTATTATCAAGCGAATTTAATATTAAAACACAATTTTCATTCACTCGGCAATAGTCTTAGGAGCAAAGACTGTAAAATTTATTCTAAATAACCGTTCGAAAGCTTGAACGATTTTACTTTACTTATTCCTCCCTAATGAATTAAACTAAAAGATAAAATAATCAAATTAATTCATTTGTTTTTTATTTCTGTCCCTAACAACAATTACAGATTGAAAAAAACTAGAAAATATATACTATTATCTCAAACCAATTCAATTAGCATGAATAAAAATCAATAATATAAATTTAAAATAAGGATGAATACGGACTTGAATGTGAAAAAATTACAATGATTAGCGCAAATTCTCATAATCGATTATTGAGATGGATTCTATTCCCTTTAAACAAAACAAAACAAATAGTTGATCGAATTACCAAAAGAGAAAAAATTGGAATGATCCCTCTATCTGATTCCCCCCTCCCTCCTATTTAACATGAAAAAAAGGTAGCCTTGATGATAAGATATCAAGGATAAAAATTAAGAGATTAAATGTTGTAGAGAAAATCTCTTCAATCCCATCAAATTTCTTCTTAAAGATAAGATTCTCATTTCTATCAATTTCTGATCAGATTAGGAAACAAAACTCTCCCTCCAACTTGGATCAAGGTTTTTGTATTGAAAACAATATTTTTTATCATTGAGCCCTTCATAAATGTGGTAGCTATAGATATGTAGATGAATTTAAGTTTTTGAACCGTCTAATTTCAATACCTGAATGTTAAAATATGCTAGCTTAAATATTTAGCCTGCGAACAACAAATCTTACTGCAAATAGGATTCAGATCTGATTTTGTGACTTCATTTAAAGGCTCAAGCAAACTTGGACTTTTACCTATAATAATTTTTTGAAGAACTTGATATGTGTAATTCAACTTTGATGAAGCATACATTTCCATTCTAAAACTCCAACTCAGTGAAAAACTTGAAAAGGAAACAAAAGTTTGAAATATAAAATACAAATTTTTTTATTTTTTAATAATTAATTCACAAAGTTTTTAAAACATGATAAAATTATAAAATAACTTTTAATGAGCTAAAATAAGCTTAAAATACATTAAAAAAATATAATGTGAAAGGAATAAAATATATATGTCACTGATTTTTCACAACCTAAAAGGCTGGAGCCCAGCTTCGATGTTAGAGTTCGTGAAGATTAAATGCACTTGACAATTCAGTGCAACAACTTTTCTTTTACCAGCAAATCGTTCAATTTCATCTCAGCTGAGTTTGCCAGAGATGAAAAGGCATGTTAACTGCTTAAGAAAGACATCTAATTTGACAGCATTTTAATGAGGCGAAAGCGACCAATCTGAAGTATGAGGAAACATCAAGTAGTCGGACGCAAACCTACTATGTCTGTTTGTTTATGTTGAAAAGTAGTATTTTTTAAAAAATAAATTTTAAAAAAATAGGACTGATTTATTAGTAGTATTTTTTAAAAAATAAATTTTAGAAAAATAAATTATTTTTTGATATTTGATAGTTTAATAAAAAATAAATTAAAAAATATTTTTCAGTATTTGATTATGTCATGGAAAATAAACTAGAAAATAATTTATTAATATTTTATTTTCTCAAATTTATTGAAATAATGAGAAACAAATCTTATAAATTAAAAAATTAAATTAGGATGAAATTGAAAAAAATATAATTTAATAAATTATCTCAAATAAAATAAATAATAATCAAAATAATAGAAATCAAATCTAAAAAATAAAATAAAAATGAAAGATTAAGAAATTAAAATAATAATAATAATTAAAATTTCATAAATTATTTTAAATAAAATAAGTAACAAATAAAAGAATGAAGACCAAATTTGATAGAAAACATTTCAATAAGAAAATGATAGGGAAAAAGCAAATGACAATGATAAAAATGAGGATCAAAGTTAATATAAGAATTAAATTTTAAGAGAAGAAATTAAAAATAAATATTCAAAACAAATATATATATATATATATAGCAATTAAAAGTTTAAGGACAATAAAAAATTTGATGATCAAATTTGATATAATCAGTAAATAATATGATATTTCTAATTTTTTTATAAATTTCAAAAAGTGTTTTCCATCCAAATTTTTCAGAAAAATATTTTCTTGAAAACCAAGTTAAATTTTTTTTATTAGAAAGTATTTTTTATTAACAAAATTTTCTAATAACAAACAAATTTAAAAATAATTTTTCAAATTTTTTTTTTTTAAAACACACATATCCATTTAGCTTTCAACAGAGATCACAATATTTCAATATTAATAATGTTGAATACACATATCAGCAGTACTGGCCACGTCCAGTGCAAAAATAGGATATTAGGATTATTATAAAAAGTGCTGGGATGTATAGTACGGCAAGTATAAGACATACCATGGTATCGGCCGGAAAAAGAAATATCATGAAAAATTAGAAGTTGTTATTAAGCAGAAGAAACTAGAAATACTAGAATATGCACCTGAAGGGATTGGTTATACCTAATGAAAGAATGATGTCACATTGATAACATTTTTTTTTTATTACAAAATGTTATTTTTATTACGTATTTTTTTAATTTAATCTTTTTTATTATTATTTTTAGTTTATTTCCAACCTATTTCTAATTATTTAAGGAAAATTTGATATTGATACTAAAAAAAATAGAAGACGCATCAATTTAGTCAGTTGTAAAAATCTCTTATCAATCCTTTAAAGAAAGAGGTTTGTTTTTCACACAAAAAAAAAAGAAAAGAAGAAGAAACTCTCTATAATGATCCTAAATAAAGAGACTTATCAGAAAAATCTAAATTAAAGTTATAATTTTTAGTTTCCAGGTTAACGTCTAGAGTTCTCAAATTTTATTTCTAGGTTCTCATTTGCATTCAAGGTAAATAACAGATTATTCTTTTATATATATATAAAACCAGGGTTGATTTTTTGTAGTTTATTGGGTGTGCTGGTTGGATGGATCTTTTGATTTTGATCAAGTCTTAATAAATTTAATAAAGTTGTTATTAAATCTAAACATGCATGTAATATTTTTTTAATAAAATAAATAAAAAAATAAAACAAGAACATTTTATTCATATGCCAATGCAAAATAAAAAATCCTCTTTTTTAGTTTTTATATTAAGACAAGTATTTTTTTTTAGAATGCTAAAAT